CCCCAAAACCCCAAAACCCCAAAACCCCTAGAATCAATATTTAAAGCAATATAAATTTCAACATTTAAAATCAAATAAATGTCTTTCTTTATTTACTTATTATAATATTTTTATCAAAAGCACTAACAGATACCATAGTAAATTAATTCTCATAGGTTTCTAGGTTTAATATTATACATGTAACTTGATGAATTAAGTTTAGAAGCTTAGTAAAGGTATTAAGAGTTATGATCATTAGTCCTAGATAGTAAAGATAAGTCTGACATCTTAGGAGTGACTTTAGATAGATTTTTTATTATGTTGTAGACTGGAGTTAGCTAGCTCTGATATCGAGATAGTTTTTTATATTCATGTGTTTAATTGACAGTTTTTACAATAGAATTGTAGGAAGCCTTAGCGAGTATCTAAGCCTTCTTATAGTCACCTTTTCTTGCTAGTTTTGAACTCTGCTGAATAGAATTTAAAGCCAATAGGTCAACATCTGCCTAAGTTTCAACTAATTTTCTATCATTGCTAATAGAAACTGCATTGGTGATAATTTTGATGTAATTTTTGCCGTCAAGACCTGTATACTAAATTTGTAATTAGAAAGGTACTTTTTTTAATTTGTCAATACTAATATTTTCCAGTTAGGCTAATCTATTGATTGGTTTTAGTCCAAACTCAAATGTCAGTTCTGTATTTCCCATTATCTTATAGTAAGTTGAATCTTCGTTTCTTAAATTTCTCTTTTCTTCTCTATTGAATTTAAAACATTCTTTTAAGTGAAGTCTGATCTTAGCTTTAGTTGCAATAATTGGTCTGGAAATGATTTCCTTAAAACTATCACTCAGATTGTCTCCACTAACTCTCTCTATGGTGCCGCCAGTCTACTCAACTACTGGTAATAGAGCTCCTATTCCACATTCTTCTGAATTAAACGTAACAATATGTGTGGTGACATCGTTTTTTGTAGCAAATTTTGCAACTCTTAGATAGAAATTCAAAGCTTCATCGTAGTCATCGGTAAGATTTCCAAGGCCAAGAGTTGAGACTCCATCAGTGCAAAGAAGGACTTAAGATCCTTTTTTACCCTATGAGGCTAAGGCAATAGAAGATAGAAGTCCAGGACCAAGAGCAGTGTGTTTAGTAGGTTTCATACTTTGGATTACTTTTATTAGGTCTTTTTAGCTGCTTGCTAGAGATTTATTCATCAAAACTTAGTATGATTGAATTCCTTGTTTAATTAATATCTGGGGATTATTAAGATCTTCTCTATTGATTGTTATTGTATCACTTTGAAAATTTCCTAAGATCTTTACATCACCTGAAAAAGTTACTAATCCAACTTTTCGCTTCGGGAATTAATGAGCCATTTCTGAGATTTGCTTAATGAGAGCAGATTTTATTGCCTCAAGTCTAGTTTTATTAATGTTATGGCAAAATGAACCCATACTTCCAGAAATATCAATGCAGAAGATTATAGTAATATCTTCATCTTAGTCAGCAATACCAATTACTTCTTCTATACTTTGACTATCGTTGCAATAAGTTGTAATCATGTTTTATTAGACTTAATCACCAATTATTGAAGCATTAATTTTATTAAAAAATGCGCATTTCCAGCTAAAATTATTTACATCTTTTGAGATCTCACAATAACTGTTTATAGCTGCCTTGCATTGGTCACAATAAGTTGGTTTGCCATTCTTCAAATTTTTCATGTCTTTAATTGTTTGAAGATTCAGATGAATAATATTAGAATCAACCTTTTCCTTATATTTCTTTGGGATATCTGATTTTTAATTTGATTTTTTAACTTTTAAATTTGGAAGGGTCAACTTTTATTAGCTACTAAATGCTGATTGGCAACTTTAATCTGGTACTTTATTTTTCTAGAATACAGACATATAAAACTTTCCTATTTTTTGCTATATAGTTTGTTAATCTTCTTAAACTGGGTTCAACAGTTTTTTTGAATTGTACTGCTATAATTCTGAATTCCTGATCTATTCTAACTTCATTAATTTTTGCTAGTTTGGCTCTAATTTTCTTTCCTCTGGCAGTACATTGCTATTGATAGTATTTTGGTTATGATGCTCAAGTTCAGAGCTTTTTATACCAAAATATCCATTATATTTTGCTTAATATGTGTGAAATTTAGCTTTTCTCTCTTAAACTATTTTAATTAAGAGTTTATAACGATTTTCCTTTTAAACTGACTCCTTTCAAAGTTATTACTCATTTATTCGCTATTGTAGAGTTTTACTTTATGGCTAGCCATCGTCTGAAATCAATGAAATATGCTATTAATTTATCAAATTAGCCGTATTAGGCTTTCTGATATATAAAAGTTTGCTGTTTTATAAATCCTCATTTAGATCATCAGAATCTAGTTCTTCACCTGAAGTCTCCCGCAAAAAGACTTTCGATTATTCTTCAATAATTTACAATTAACTTTCCAGACACTTCTTTCTATCTTCTTAATCTTCAGCATATAGCTACTTTTTTAGGATAATTCTAGCTCTCTCACTTTTGAATAAATTGATGTTTTTCTTTGAAATGTAAGCGAAGTTACTTGCAATTCTCATTTTTATTTGTGGGTAGATAAGGTTGTGATACTATTATTATTTTTAATATTATATAGTAATTAAATGCTAAAGTTCTTGATATTTACGAAGATATTTTCATCAGTCTTAAAAAATAAAGAACTTCTAAAATTGTTGCATAATTTGATTATAATTTACATACTTCGAATTTAGATAAAAATTCTAAGATTTGGGGTTTTGGGGTTTTGGGG